CCCCAAACCCCCCCTGCGCTGCCTCCTTTGTGGTCACGCCCAGGTATAACCACGCCCCTTCCCGCCGCGCCCACAGGCCACGCCCCTTCACGTGACGGACGCCCTTCCCGCCATTGAGTTTGGCCACGCCCATAGCGCAAACCACGCCTCTTTATTGGGGCGGATATTCCCGCCATGGCAATGGCCACGCCCCCAGTGCGCAATTTCCGCTCTCACGACCGCGCCCAAACGTCATGACGTCTCCATAGCAACCTTAGCCACGCCCACATCATTAGGCCACGCCCCCAGCTCATGATTATCCATTATTTTCCCCGATTTTCCCCTTTTTCCACCCAAAAACCTGAGAATTTTTTGTGCTCACAGCCCCGTTTTGGCTCATTTTGAGGCTCCGGTGTTGAATTCCACCAAAGCAGAGCTTGGAACCGAATTTTGGGATTAAAACAGAGGGAAAAATGAGGGAATTAAAGGGAAAAATGAGGGAATTAAAGGGAAAAATGAAGGAATTAAAGGGAAAAATTAAGGAATTTCAGCTTAAAAATTCCCACTGGGAGCAATTCCAGGTTTGGAGGGAACGCTGCGCTCTGGGTTTGGGTGTTCAACCTCAGTTTTGCCTGGAAAAATCCCATGGAATCGGGAAAAATCCCGATTATTCCAAGGAATTCCGCTGCCGAGCTGGGAAAATTCACCTGGTTCCACCCCAGGGATCCCTCGGAATTCCCAGAAAGGGAACGGAAATTTTCCAGGATCAGGGGAAGAAAAGAGTGGAAAATCCGGATTTTTCTCAGCATTCCCAAATCCCGGGATTCTGGAGATTTTCCCGGGAAAAATCCTGATCTCGGAATTCCCAAATTCCCGGAGGATTCCTGAATTTTTTTTTTTCCAAGGAAAAACGACTCCGGGGTTAGAAGCAGTCTTTAATGGGAATTCTGCTCCGAGGGTGTCCCACAAATCCTTGAGTTTTCCAGGGAAAATTGGGATGTGGAGCGCTCCAGGATGCTCCAAAATTCCCAAAAAAATCGCTTTATCCGTGATCCACCGGGAGTTTTCCAGGGAATTTTCCATGCTGGAAGCGCCAGGAGTCCGGAATTTTCCTCAGTTTCCCGATCTTTTTGCTCCAATGTGGTTTTTCCCCAAGGAAAAATTTGGGCCGCACCCAAAAAAAAATCTGGGAAATAAATAAAAAAATAATAATAATAATAATAAAAAATGAATTCCAAGAAAAATTCCTACCCCCCTCCAAAAAATAGAAATTCCAAATGAAAACAAAAAAATACTCCTAAAAATAAAAAAAATAAATAAAAAGATTTTAAAAAATCAAAAAAATTCCTCCCCAAAATTCCCAGAAGAATAAAATGAATTTGAAATAAATCCCACCCAAAAATTCCCTAAAAATCCTAAAAAATTCCCCCAAAAATTCCCTAAAAATCCTCAAAAAATCCCCAAAAATCCCCCCCCAAATCCTCCAAAACCCCCCCAAAAATCCCCAAAAAATAAAAAAAAAATCCCCCAAAATTCAAAAAAAATTCCTAAAAATTCCCCAAAAATTCCCCAAAATTCACAAAAAATCCTCAAACAATCCCCCAAAAATTCCCAAAAAATCCCCAAAAATTCCTAAAAAATTAAAAAAAAATTCCCCAAAATCCCTAAAAAATAAATTAAAAAAAAATCCCAAAAATCCCCCCAAAATTCTCCAAAAATCGCCAAAAAAATTTTAAAAAATTTAAAAAAAATAAAAAAAAATCCCCCAAAAAACTCAAAAAAAATCCCCAAAAATCCCCAAAAAATCCTCAAAAAATCCCCAAAAAATCCCCAAAAATCCCCAAAAACTCCAAAAAAATCCCCAAAAACTCCCAAAAAATTCCCAAAAAATCCCCAAAAAATCCCCAAAAACTCCCAAAAAATCCCAAAAAATTCCCCAAAAAATCCCAAAAAATTCCCCAAAAAATCCTCAAAAAATCCCCCAAAAATTCCCAAAAAACCCCCAAAAAATCCCCAAAAATCCCCAAAAAATCCCCAAAAACTCCCAAAAAATCCCCAAAAACTCCCAAAAAATCCCAAAAAAATCCCCAAAAATTCCCAAAAAAATCCCCCAAAAATCCCGCACCTCCCTAAATGGAAGAATCCACGGTGAAGTTTCCGTAGTGGGAGCCGAGCCCCGGCTCGGGCGCGGCGTATTTGGCGCGGCGCTGGCACGGGAAGCCGAGGATGCGGCGGAAGGTGCTCCTCATCTCGTTATCCCGCCAGGAGTAAACGATGGCGTTAATTAGCGAGTTAATTTCGGCCAGCAGCAGCACGTATTTCTCCACGGCCAGCACGTCACAGCTCTGGCAGCCCAGCCCGTCCAGGAGGAGCAGGACCTGGCCCGGGGTCCAGCAAACCACGAAAGCGCCTGGAGAAACGGGGGGAAAATGGGGAAAAACGGGAAAAAACGGGGATAGAAATGGGGAAAATGGGAAAAAATGGGGAAAGAAATGGGGAAAATGGGGAAAAACGGGAAAAACGGGAATAGAAATGGGGAATATGGGAAAAAACGGGAATGGAAATGGGAGAAATGGGAAAATGGGGAAAGAAATGGGAAAAATGGGAAAAAACGGGGAAAGAATTGGGGAAAATGGGAAAAAATTGGGAAATAAATGGGAAAAATGGGAAAAAAAATGGGAACCCAACCCAATTAACCCCTAATTAATGACCCACCAACGATGATGATGTGCAACCCAATTAACCCCTAATTAATCACCCACTGAGGATGATGGTGACCAACCCAATTAACCCCTAATTAATGAACCATCAAGAATGACGATGACCAACCAAGGATGATGATGACCAATCCAACAAACCCCTAATTATCCCTAATTAATGACCCACCAAAGATGATGATGACCAGCCCAATTAACCCCTAATTAATGACCCACCAAGGATGATGGTGACCAACCCAACAAACCCCTAATTAATGACCCACCAAAGATGATGATGACCAACCCAATCAACCCCTAATTAACCCCTAATTAATGACCCACCAAGGATGATGATGGTGACCAACCCAACAAACCCCTAATTAATGACCCACCAAAGATGATGATGACCAACCCAATCAACCCCTAATTAACCCCTAATTAATGACCCACCAAGGATGACAACGACCAGCCCACCAAGGATGATGGTGACCAACCCACCAAGGATGCCAATGTCCAACCAAGAATGATGATGAGCAACCCAATTAACCCCTAATTAATGACCCACCAAGGATGATGATGACCAACCCAATTAACCCCTAATTAACCCCTAATTAATGATCCACCAAGGATGATGATGACCAATCCAATCATCCCCTAATTAATGACCCACCAAGGATGATGATGACCAACCCAGTTAACCCCTAATTAATGACCCACCAAGGATGATGATGACCAACCCAGTTAACCCCTAATTAATGACCCATCAAGGATGACAATGTCCAACCAAGGATGATGGTGACCAACCCAATTAACCCCTAATTAATGACCCACCAAAGATGATGGTGACCAACCCAATCAACCCCTAATTATCCCTAATTAATGACCCACCAATGATGATGGTGACCAACCCAACCAACCCCAAATTAACCCCTAATTAACCACGCACCCAGCACGATGGTGACGGTCTTGACCAGCGCCATGACGGTGTCGCGGTGCCGCGGGTGCGCGCCCGTGTGCCGCGCCATGCGCGCCATCCTCCTGCGGACGTAGACGAAGATGTGCCCGTAGACCACGACCATCACCAGGAACACGGCCAGGTTGGACACGGCCCAGAAGGTCAGGTAGCTCCGGCTGTAGAGCGGCGCCATCCTGGAACAGCTCTCCAAGGAACACAGGCAGTGCCAACCGTAGGACGGGATCAACCCCAGCAACAACGCCGCCGCCCAGATGGAGAAGATCAAACCCACCACGCGCTGCGCCGACATCTCGCTGTGGAGCTGCATGGTCAGCACCGTCCGGTGCCTCTCCACCGCGATGGCCAGCAGGTTGACCACCGAAGCGGTCAAGCTGGTGTCCAGCAGGCTCTGCCGGATGAACCAAGTCTTGAGGGACAACTGGGCGGTTCTAGGCCCGGTGTGGAACATGAGGAACATGTAGGCCACGCCGGCGAAGAGGTCGGCGGCGGCCAGGTTGGCCAGGAGGTAGTAGATGGGGTAGTGGAAGCGGCGGTTGGTGGCCACGGCGGCGATGACCAGCAGGTTGGTGAGCAGGACCACGGCGCTGACCGCCAGGCCCAGGGCCACCACCAGGACGTCCTTGGGGCGCCAGTGGGGGCTGAGCTCCTTGCGGCTGTTGTTGTAGAAGAAGCCGAGGGTCTCGTTGTAGAAGCAGTGCTTCATGGCGGGGGGCCTGCG